GTAGAACTGCCACCCAAGCGCGTCAGGGGGGAACCCCAGGAAGACGCAAAGAGCAGCACGAGGGGACAGCTTGTCCGCAGACAAGTCACGGACAAACGCCCGAGATCCCCAGACCCAGAACGCTGACGCATCGCCAACCTTCCCCGTCCATAGCAAGGCTGGGGAGGTCTCCGGCCTGGAGACTCTGGGGTGGAGGTTGATCTGATGCGCCGCGTACCTCACCTCAAACGGCCACAGAAAATGGGGGGCAGCCGCATGCATCATAGACGTACGAGCGACGTCCATGACCATGCCAATGCGGCGCTCAGCAATCCCATTTTGCTGCGAGGAGTCCGGAAGCGTGAAGGTCTGATGGATGCCCCGAGCGCGACAGTAGGCTTTCAGAAGGCCACAGGAAAACTCTCCGCCTCTGTCCGAGTGCAGACGCAGAACAGGTAAGTCCGAGCCAAAGCTCTGCCTGAGCTGAAGACGAGCAGCGCAGATCCAGTCGATCAGCACCTCAGTGACATCACCCTTGCTGCGCAAGGGGAAGATTGTGGTGTAACGCGAGTAGTCGTCAACAACTAGCAGAAGTAGCGCTCGTGACCCTGTCCACGGACGCGGGCTGGGCCCCACACGTCCATGTGAAGCGTCTGCAACGGGGCCTCTGTCGGAGGAAACTGGGAGGAGTGAGGGGCAGCACGCTGGCGTCCCTCGACACAGGGGACATAGGCAGGACCAGGGCCCTGAGGAAGGGGAGGGAGGGACCGGGGGAGACCAGACACAAGAAGACGAGAGGCCATGCCTCTGAGCCGAAGCAGAGAGGGGTGGCCAAGGCGGTGGTGCCAGAGGAGAGTCTCGTGAGACAGGAGACGACACGAACAGGGGGAAGACTCAGGACCAGACCTGGACGCCGCAGCAAACACCTGACCCGACGTAGCTACCCTACCAGACTCAGCAACTGGAGGAGACGCAGTGGTCAGAGTGTACAGGCTCGACCCCGGCTGACGGGTGAACGTAGCCAGGTGGCGGCCTGTGCTAGCCTCTGTGCGGTGTGTCACTCGCTGACGCGCAGTAGTGAACTGGTGGACACCTGCATCGTGTAGGTCAGCACCACTCACCAGGTTCGTCAAGAACGAGGGGAGGTAAAGACCAGACAGGGTGCCAGAGGGAGCCGCCGGACACGGGAGGACTGTGGAGAAGCGAGACAGTACAGGACCCCCGGAGGGGTCAGCCAGAGACACCGCAACCGGCCGACTGAGCGGCGTGAGTGTGGTGCGGTCCCGAAAGAAGGAGCGAGACGCCCCAGAGTCAAGGGTGAAGCTGAGGGAGGCCGAAGCCGACGTAGTACCTGAGAGCGCAGACTCACCAGTACCTGAGGACGCAGACACACTAGCACCTAGAGCAGCAGCGTCGCAAGCACCTAGGGCAGCAGCTGCACCAGTACCTAGAGCAGTAGACTCAATGCCCGGATCGGGCGGAAACAGCGGTAACAGTCACCCTCATCACTAATAGTCACAGCATACATGGCAGAGAGAATAGCATCAAAGTCAAGATTAAAGATGGCAACACCCGCCCTAGACAGCTCGCCCCAGCGAGGGATCTCTGAGGCCTCCGGGAACTGGTGACGCCACGCGTCCGTCAGGCGGCCAAAGCAGCGCTGGGTGGGGTGCGCACCCCCACACTGCTCACCCGCACGGTCGCCGGTGCGCAGGACGTAGGCACACGGACCAAAACCCCCACCCCGCTGGCGTGCAGTGTACCACTCACGGAGCTGCTGAGGGGACAGGGTCTCACGACCGCGCTGCTGCTGCTGGCGCGAGCCACCACCAGAGCCACTCCTCTGCGAAGACCCGCGACCAGCTCCACCGCCACCCCCACCGCCTCCGCCGCCTCCGCCGCCTCCGCTACTGCCGCCGCCTCCGCCGTCGCCTCCACCGCCGCCTCCTCCGCCACCTCCGCTCCCACCGCCACCGCCGCCGCCGCCTCCGCCTCCACTGCCGCCACCGACCCCCCCACACCCACCTCCACTCCCACCGCCACCCCCACTCCCCCCACCGCCTCCACCTCCACCTCCACCGCCCGCTCCTCCAGCTCCCTTGCCCCCCTTGCCCTTGCCAAGGCGGCGTCTCCCGCTAGGGGCAGACGCCGCACCGACCGACTCAAGACCAAGGAGGTCGGCCGTAGCAGTAGAGGCAACAGAGGGCAGCAGGGGGGAGGGGGAACACCCCTCAAAGATGGAGGTGCGCGGGTCACCTCGAGAGGCTCCTACAGCGACTATACTCTTCTCCGCTGCTAAGAGGGCCTTCTCGAGGAGGTCGACAGTGAGTGTGGTGGGACAGATTGAGAGAAAGTGGTCCCTGACTACTCGAAGGGAGTCAGGAAGGCGAGTGACTAGGAAGTACAGAGTGATGTACATGGGGGGGGGGGTTCTTGGCGCAAAAGTCAGCAGGGAGTGCAGCGCGGTAGCGGGTGTCACTAGTGCGGAGGTGCGTAATGAGGTCAGCCACGGTGGGAAAGGCAGCAAGGTCTGGGAAGAGGTACGGTAGCATGAGATGGCTCAGTGCAGCAGTGGCAGGGGAGGAGTAGCGCGCGACTACAGCGTCGTACAAGGTCTGAGCACTCTTGTACTGACTAAAGTGCGCACGCTCGGAGGTAGGGAGGTGGCGACGCACAGCAAGACGTGCAGCAGCGTCGCGCGTGGCCCACTCGGAGCGAACAGTGGTGTCAGCATCTGCAGCAGGGGCAGGGGAAGCGCCAGAGGTAAGGTCAAAGAGAGAGAGGCCGTCTGCCCTAACGCACTGTAAGAACAGCGGCCCCGCCGCCCTACCCTTCTTGACGGCCCCGCCGCCCTACCCCTGCGGCCCCGCCGCCCTACGTCGCGGCCCCGCCGCCCGCCTCCTGCTCCTGCGGCGGGGCCGCGACGTCGGGCGGCGGGGCGGCGACGTAGGGCGGCGGGGCCGCAGGGGTAGGGCGGCGGGGCCGTCAAGAAGGGCGGCGGGGCCGCTGAGGAGGGCGGCGGGGCCGCGACGTAGGACGGCGGGGCCGTCGAGAAGTAGGGCGGCGGGACCGTCGAGAAGGGCGGCGGGGCCGCGACTTAGGGCGGCGGGGCCGTCGAGAGGTGGGGCGGCGGGGCCGTCGGCGTAGGGCGGCGGGGCCGTGACATAGGGCGGCGGGGCCGCAGGAGTAGGGCGGCGGGGCCGCGTGAGTAGGGCGGCAGGGCCGTCGGCGTAGGGCGGCGGGACCGCGACGTAGGGCGGCGGGGCCGTAGGAGTAGGGCGGCGGGGCCGCGTGAGTAGGGCGGCGAGGCCGCGCGATGGGGCGGCGGGGCCGCGAGGTAGGGCGGCGCGACAGGCCGCTGCAAGGGCGGCGCGCCACTGCCGCTAAGGCGGCTCGATGCGACCGTAAGGGCGGCGCGACGGGCCGCTAGGAGCGACACGACGGGCCGCTAAAGAAAAGGGAGAGCGCGACTCGAGGCGCGCTTCGGTGGGCCCTAGGAACAGTCCCTAGGAGGGGACCTGCTCTGATTCCATGTGAAAATGAGAACGAGAATGATGAACTATGAATGAAGTGAGTACAAATATGAAACCCTAATGGGCTGTACCCCCTATGGGATACCCCACTATAGCCTACACAACAGCATAAGCTATAATGTTCTGACAGATACAGACATCTCGCTGCCAGTGTCCACGTGAGATCTTACGCCCTTTAGAGCACTAGTATCTTAGGCTCAATATGGTTGCACATTAGTACAACTTGGTTTTCAAGTTTACAATAAGTGAATAGTGCTCCAACTCCCCTTCACACTTCACGCGGAGTACTTGTTTTGTTGCTGGCCAATCAGCTATCAGAGTGGTGAAGTCACCACCTCTGGGAGGCGACGGGAAGCTTTCCCTCGGGTGGTTACCTGGTTTTTGGCGAGTTCATATTCAAGAATCTTGAATTTGAAAAGGGCCATGTGGAACTCGGGCTGTAACGCACGCATTTAATGAGACGACACCAAAAGTTGTCCACCAACCGTAGTGAAGGATGGGTCATGGTCGATCTTGACCGTTGAGGGCAAGGATCCATCGATGCTGAAGGAGCGCCTGGTAATTTCATGACCGCTAGGAGCAACTACCCATTCTCCTGGCCGGCTCTCGCGCAACTCCTGGACCTCATGGCATCATTCATTCCCTGTCTTCCCCCCCCCCCCCTCCAAGGGGTATTACACTCTAAAAACGGGGTGAGGTAGGAAAGAAGCTCTGATACCAAGCGCTATGAGTTGTACTAAACAGAGTGCGCAGAAGACTTTATATAAATATATATAAAATTACAGAATGAGGATATAATGAATAAGGCGAGCATTTATAGGGCGAATACGTGCTAGGCGAGAACCTCGTGACGTGCGAGGGTTGGATGTGTCGTGATTGGTGCGGGGCGAATCGGCAGTGGTCGGGCCGAAATGTAGGCCGAACCGGAAACTTGCGCGCAGTGTTCGGGGCTGTCCTCGCTAAGGGCAGCTTCGGCAGTAATGAATTGTATATTCATTACAGCCATTTAATCAGCTCATTCCTTCGCTAGATGTCATGTTTTGCTTCGATAGTGCAATTCTCGCTCTCTCCCATAACAGTAAGAACACGTCGCGTTACTATCCCCATGTCAGAACAGGCTGGCAAACCACAAGCGCATCACTGACACCCGAATCTTACGGCCTCTACTCGTTCGTCCCCGTTCATTCGTCAACTCAATCTGCCGCACTACGCGCGTCGCCTACCCCACGCTTTGTTGCCACTCGACTGCCCCTGACTTACGTGCCCAAGCTCGCCTTCGCATCGAGGTGTGTCGCAGCAGTCGCAAGAGCCGTCGCACGACGACAGCGCGACGCTCGTAGCCGTAGCATCTCTTTCACCACCATGCGTTGCCGCGATGCACCATCGCTTCGACCGTGCTGAGTGCCGCGCTAGTTGCCACGCTGTACTTCGAAACCCATCGGCACCGAATTGCGCGCAGTAACCGTACGTTCCGCCATGGGGCGCCGCATGGCGGCGCTGCGATGCGCACCGTGCGGCTGGAGGCGAGTCTTGGCGGCGGGGGTGCTGATGGCGCTCGCGCTGGTTGCGCTCGATATCGCGACCGACTATGACGAGGACGACGATGCGGGCTTGCGACCACGCGGCATGCTATTTGATGAGCTGGATGATGACGGCCCGGATGATCTCTGGACGTTGGAGACGAAGATGAGCCGTGGATGCGCTCCAGGGACGAAATCTAACGGTTGCGAGCGCGTGGACGCTGTAGTCGTTGCGGATGTGCGTGTCAGCTCCATCTCATTTCCCATCCCTCACCGCCATCCTTCTCCCCCCATATGTCCGCATACCTTCCTCCCCTTCCGCCTCCGCGCGCCCAATCCACTTTGTCCCGCCCCATTCTCTCCCGCATTCCACTCTTTCGTGTCACTCACTCACTCAACAGTTCTCAATCGTTCTCCTCGCCCACTCTCCTCGCTCATTCTCGTCCCACCACCGCCCCCCATGCCCATGCGCCGCGCGCGTCGCAGGGCGAGCTGGGCGAGAGGGTGCACGCGGTGTGCGCGGCGTCCGCCATGACGGCGCTGAGCTCGCTGCTCACGCTCGCCGTCTGGCCGGCCGACCGCCACATGCCGCACGTCCGCTTCTCCCACCTCTTCTCCCTCACGCCGCCCGCGCCCGCCTCCTTTTCTGCCGACACCCCTGCCACGCCTGTTGCCAACGTCACGGCGGGGGCTGGCGGGGGGGCGAGAGGGGAGAGGAAGAGTGCGTTCGTGGGCGGGCCGGAGCGGCGAGTGTGGGTGCGCGAGTCAGCGCTGCCTGCTGCGGCGTGGAGGAGCGGGCTCAACCTTGCCAGGCGCACGGTACACCTCCTTGCCGTTGCCGCCACCCCTCTCCCCTTTCACACTCATCCTCGCACCTCACTCACCCCTCCTCACCCCTCACCCACCGCTTGTCTCCCCGCAGTCACTTACCCCTCCTCCACGCGTGCATGCCTGCGTCCCACCGGGCAGCGTCGTCCACTTGACCTCTGTGCGTGCTCACATCACATCACATCTCATCTCATCTTTCCCTCGTGCTTGCCACTCCCACTCTCTCCTACCTCCCCCTATCTCCGCTTTATCCCAAACTCCCGCCTCCAACTCCCCCTCCTCCCCCCATGGCGGCCAGGTGGTGATACCGGGGTGTCCGCAGGGCTCAACGGCGGAGGCGCAGGGCGGGGGGGCGGGGGGCAGCAGAGGGGGCGGGGGGGGGGGCAGCACGGCGGTGCACCTCTTCCTGTCGCCGGACGCCGTCAACTGGCTCGGCCTCGTGAGCCCCACTCCCTCCCTCCTACCTCCGCTGCCATCCGCGCACTGCCTCCCATGCGCACTGCCTCCCATGCGCACTGCCTCCCATGCGCACTGCCTCCCATGCGCACTGCCTCCCATGCGCACCTGCCTCCCATGCGCACCTGCCTCCCATGCGCACCTGCCTCCCATGCGCACCTGCCTCCCATGCGCACCTGCCTCCCATGCGCACCTGCCTCCCATGCGCACTGCCTCCCATGCGCACTGCCTCCCATGCGCACTGCCTCCCATGCGCACTGCCTCCCATGCGCACTGCCTCCCATGCGCACCTGCCTCCCATGCGCACCTGCCTCCCATGCGCACTGCCTCCCATGCGCACTGCCTCCCATGCGCACCTGCCTCCCATGCGCACTGCCTCCCATGCGCACTGCCTCCCATGCGCACTGCCTCCCATGCGCACTGCCTCCCATGCGCACTGCCTCCCATGCGCACTGCCTCCCATGCGCACTGCCTCCCATGCGCACTGCCTCCCATGCGCACTGCCTCCCATGCGCACTGCCTCCCATGCGCACTGCCTCCCATGCGCACTGCCCCCCCGGCACCTGCCTCCCATGCGCACTGCCTCCCATGCGCACTGCCTCCCATGCGCACCTGCCTCCCATGCGCACTGCCTCCCATGCGCACCTGCCTCCCATGCGCACCTGCCTCCCATGCGCACTGCCTCCCATGCGCACCTGCCTCCCATGCACACCTGCTGTGTAGCAATGCACCTCGCATCAGAATGCTCCTCGTCTTCCACGCTTCCACTCTCTCCATGCCCTTCCCTGCCTCTCTCACCCTGCCCCTCTCGCCCTGCCCCTCTCACCCTGCCCCTCTCGCCGTGCCCCTTGCCCGCCAGTCGCTGCCGGACGCGTGTGCGTTTGAGCGCGCCATGGGGGCGTGCATGGCGGCGCTGCACCCCTCGCCGCCCGTGCAGCAGCTGCTGCAGCAAGAGAACGCCACGCGCCTGCACGCCTCCTATGGCGTCTTCGTGGATGTGAGTGGGGGAGGAGGATGGAGGGAAACGGGGAACGCACAGCTCAACGAGGGGAGGGGGCAGGAGGTGGGGAGAGTAGAAGGCGAGTGAGTGGGAGTGGGTGGGGTGGGGGCAGTGAGAGCCATGGACTCGCTGTCACCCGTCTAACCACGCATCCCGCCATCCGCCCCTCCCTGCCTCTCTTGCTCTCTTGTCCCGATCAGACGCTGGCAGCAGCGGGGTGCAGCGGGTGTCCGAGCAGCAACGGGTCGACGGCGGTGGAGTGTGTGATGCGGCGCGTGACCATGAGCTTCCTCAAGGACCCCTCCAAGGGCTTCACTCTCGCCGCCTCCAACCCCCACCACACCGCTGCCGTCGCCGACTTCTTCCACCCGCACCGTGCGCCCGCCCTGCTGCACGCCACGCTGCTGCGCGCCACCACCTGCCCCTTCGGCGAGCACGTCACCGCTGCCCCCGGCCCGCAGAACTTGCCGCCGGGGACCAGTGCAGCCGCCCTGCAGGCACTGCTGGCAGGCGCCGTGGCAGGGGGTGGCGGAGGAGCAGGCGATGGGGGCGGCAGTGGAGGGGGGGAGGAGGTGGCGGTGCTGCTGCCTTTCAACAACCGCGTCACACCGGAGCAGCTGCTGCTGTGCCTGCATGCACGGGTATGAGTGTGCATGCACGGGTACAAGTGTGCATACACGGGTACGAGTATGCACTACCAATCTCTCTCTCCACTACCCTTCCACTCAATATCGCACCCCTCCCGACACCAATCTCTCTGTCTCCACTACCCTTCCTCCCCCCCCCCTCCTGCCATCTGCTCCTTTCCTGTGTGTGCGGGTGGGCAGGTGGCGGAGCTGTATGCGTTGAGTCGCACGCGGGGGCTCATCGCGGTGAACTCGTCGTCGGCCGAGGCGCGCTTCATTGCGGCGCACGGCAGCGCTGCCAGCGAGCTCTTCCGCGTGCAGCGAGCCGTGTGTGACTCGCCGCCGCTGCGCCCCATCACCCACCTCAAGTTCGCTAAATACACCATCGTGGAAGGTGGGTGACCAAGGAGGAAAGGAGATTCTTTGCTTCTTTGCTTTCGATTACCCGCATGCTATTACTAAACGCTGTACTCTTGTACTCCTTCCGTCATCTCCGCTAGCCGTCACTCTCCCACTCCCCACCCTCGTGGCCGACCGCCTCCCTTCCATTTCTGCAACAGTTGCACTTCCCTTGCCATGCCACCACTCCCCTTGCCATGTGACCATTCGATGATGTCGCCATCCTGCTGCCTTTTCTCGACCTCCCATGCTGCCACCATGCCATGCTGCACCCCGTGCACCATGCTCTCTCATACTGCTGCCTGCCTCGTCTTCTACCCCACTGCCCCTGCCTTCCTCGTGTGTGCCCCCGCAGAGCGCCTGGGAGTGATGTACTGCGGGGTGCCCAGTGTGGCGTCCACGGCGTGGCTCACGTGGCTGCGCGCGCGCCTGGGGCTGCCCTCGGAACGAGAGGGCCACGTGGCGGTGGACGACCGCGATGGCGGGCTGCACGAGCTCGCGCTGCACTTCACCGAGGCCCAAGCCGTCCGTCCGCCCCCTCCTTGCCTCACCCACTCCACTGCCTCTCTCGCTGCCACCCAATCTTCTCTCTCGTTCCCATCCATTTCCATTCCGCTGCGCCCCCCGCACGTGTTGTGCCTAACTGTGTCCCTCACCACTTCCCAGCGCTGTACTTACGCGAATATCTTCATCCACAAGCTACCGCTACTGTTCCAGGTTTCCCCGCAACAACCCCCCTTGCCACCTGCCGTGTCCCCCTCGGCCCCCACCAGGTGCGCATCATCACGCGGCCGGACCTGCTGCGCTTCACGTTTGTGCGCAACCCCTTCTCGCGCCTCGCCTCCACCTTCCGCTCCACCGTGCTCGCCTCCCACCACAGCCTCGCGCCCACCTCGCGCGACCACTGGAGCAATGTGAGGGGGGGGCAATGTGAGGGGGGGGCAATGTGAGGGGGGGGGCAATGTGAGGGGGGGGCAATGTGAGGAGGGGGCAATGTGAGGGGGGGGCAATGTGAGGGGGGGAGTTCAGCCAGAGGCATTGTGAGGAAGGGGGGCAATGTGAGGCAGGGGGGCAATGTGAGGCAGGGCAATGTCTGCCATAGGCGCATGCATGCGGCGTGGGGGATGTGGGGAGCGGGATGTGGGGATGTAGTTGTGGTGCTGGGGCCGTGGGGTGCGAGAGGGGGAGATTCAAGCAAAGGCAAGCACATTTTTCTCTGCTTTCCTGCAAGCTTCTCCTCTCACCCTCTCTCCCCAAACTTCTCTTCAACCCGCTCCATCTCACCACCCCTCCGTGCGTGCGTGTGTGTGTGAGCAGGCATTGTTCCGGGCGGTGCGGCCCATAGTGGAGGCGGTGGTGCGGGAGGGCGAGGGGCAGCTGTCCTTCCCGTCCTTCGTGCGCCTCGTGGGCCGCCTCATGGACCACAGCCGCCCCCTCATGGACTCCCGCATAGCGCCTCAGGTGGGGTGTTGCGCCTCAGGTGGGGTGTTGCGCCTCAGGTGGGGTGTTGCGCCTCAGGTGGGGTGTTGCGCCTCAGGTGGGGTGTTGCGCCTCAGGTGGGGTGTTGCGCCTCAGGTGGGGTGTTGCGCCTCAGGTGGGGTGTTGCGCCTCAGGTGGGGTGTTGCGCTTCAGGTGGGGTGTTGCGCCTCAGGTGGGGTGTTGCGCCCCAGGAAAATAACAGCACGGGGGTGCCCCTGGCGGGGGTGCGCCAGGTGGGGGTGCGCCAGGTGGGGGTGCGCCAGGTGGGGGTGCGCCAGGTGGGGGTGCGCCAGGTGGGGGTGCCCCTGGTGGGGTTGTTATCGCTCAGGTGGGAATGCTGTGCCTGAGCAGATTACAAGCGGTTTGGCACAGGCGTTGGGCTAGGCGAGCGATACTGGGATGCGAGTCACAGGTGGTTGAGGTGGTGAGGATGTCATGGCAGGTGGGCATGTAGTTGCGTGTATGAAAACATTGTACAATTAGTCATTGACAAGTAAAATACTCTAGAATGAGTGCGTATGCCGGTTGTAAAGCATTGATTCGTGCTGCTTATATGAACCGATGAGAATCATGGTGATGGTGACCAAGTGTGACGGGAGGGTCAAGTGGAGCTAACGGTGTCTTGTTTGACGCATGTGCCTTCACTCCCTTCACCCCCGTGCATGGTGCGTGGGTGTGGGGCGGGTGGCAGGTGGACGTGTGTGCGCTGTCGACCATCAAGTACGACGTGGTGGGCCGCGTCGAGAGCCTGCTGGACGACGCCCGCGCTGTCGTGGACCGCGTGGGCGGCGCGGGGCAAAACGCACAGCTGGAGATTTTTGAGGAGGACGGCACAGGGAAGGGTGCAGACGCTGATGCCAGCCTTGCACGGCTGTATGACAAGGTGAGGCACGGCTGTATGACAAGGCAAGGCACGGCTGTGTGACAAGGCAAGGCACTGCTATGTGCTGGCCGCAGACCTCTTGCTTCCATTGCTGCATTGCTGCCATGCCCCATGATGCCATGATGCCATGATGTGATGCTGCAATGCTGGCATGCTCCCATGCTTCCTTAAAGCCATGCTTCCTTGATGCCATGCTGCCATGGTGCAGGACACATACGAGGCGGTGAAGAGCATATACGCCATGGACTTCTATGTGGCGCTCAACAACATCACACAGCCCGCGCCCCATGTGCTGCACGACCTGCTCGAGAGCGAGCTCTGAACCTGCGCCGCCGCTGCCCCCTCCCCAGGCCCTCAGATTGGTTTTAGGCAACACTTTCTGGTCAGTGTTGGTACAAAAAAAAACAAGAGGCGACGAAATCGTCTTAGGGTTGCGAAGCAACATTACACTGTTATTTTTAGATACATCTGATCTATAGTGAGAATTATATAATATCGTAACATGACTTTGATATTTGCTGAATCATTGCTATTCATAGATACATGTTTCATGTAATATGGTAGTATACAAATGAAAGGGTGTACATAACAGATGGGTGTGGTTGTTTAGGGTAAGTTATTCTTGTTGTGTTCATATGATTTGGTTTTAGGGTGACTGAAAATCTGAAACAAATAAAACTACAGAAAGGAAAAGCATCTTTTAACCGAATCTTCGGCCATGATCAGATCCGAACTCCCGACCTTCGCGACAACGACGACGTCGACAGAGCTATGCTATACAACCCATGTTTAGAACTGGCAAAACTTAATATTGTGCTTGAATGCAATAAGAAACTTCCCATTCTAGGGTTTCGTCACATGTCTTTTTCCTCCGTTTCTCTTCCACCTAGTCAGACTACTCTAGCTTCTCCCCGTCCCTCACGCCACTCACGCCACTCACACCACTCAGACTATAACTCCTAGTTAAGGTAAGCCTCATTCTCTCTATTCTTAAGTTCATTCTAGTTGAGAGTGGGTTCTAGTTTGGCTCATTTGGTTGAGAGTTGTTTTTTTTTAAACGAGATGTAGACGTATTTTGTTTCTTAACCTCCCTTTCTTCCTAGGTTATGCACCGTACTTTTGTTCTCTCCTTTATTTCGATTTACATTCTACTTGCTTGCTCTTTTCAGCTCTTGCTCTTACTTTTGTCTTCTTCCGTACGCTGTTTCTTGATTTATTCCTCTTCCTTAATTGAAATTTGACAAGATTATTAACAATTATGTTCAGAGAGTTAAATTATTAGGTTGGAGCATTCTCTTTCTCGTTCTCTTTCTCGTTCTCTTTCTCGTTCTCTCGTTGTCTAGTTCTTTCTCGTTCTCTCGTTCGTTCTCCCTCGTTCTTTCTCTCCCGTTTTCTCTCTCTCTCTCTCGCGTTCTCTCTCTCTCCTCTTGTTCTCTCTTTCTCTCGTTCTCTCGTTCTCCCTCGTTTTCTCGTTCTCTCTCTCTTCTCTCTCTCTCTCTCTCTCTCTCTCTCTCTCTCTCTCTCTCTCTCTCTCTCTCTCTCTCTCTCTCTCTCTCTCTCTCTCTCTCTCTCTCTCTCTCTCTCTCTCTCTCTCTCTCGTTATTTCACTCTCGTACTCTCGCTCTCGCTCTCGATCGTTCACCCTCGTTCTCTCTCGCTCGTTCCCTCTCTCGTTCTCTCCCTCTCGTTTCTCGTTTTCTCTCTATCGTTCTCTCTCTCTCTCGTTCTCTCTCGTTTTCTTTCTCTCTCGATCTCTCACACTCTATCGTTCTCCCTCTCTCGTCCTCTCTCTCTCGATCTCTCTCTCGTTGTCTCTCTCTCTCTCTCTCTCTCTCTCTCTCTCTCTCTCTCTCTCTCTCTCTCTCTCTCTCTCTCTCTTTCCCTCTCTCTCGTTCTCTCTCATTCTCTCTCTCTCTCTCTCTCTCTCTCTCTCTCTCTCTCTCTCTCTCTCTCTCTCTCTCTCTCTCTCTCTCTCTCTCGTTCCGTCTCTGTCGTTCTCTCGTTCTCTTTTGTCAAATCTCTCGTTCGTCCACTCTCTCGTTCTCGCTCTCTTGTCCTCTCTCTCTCGTCCTCTCTCTCTCTCTCTCTCTCTCTCTCTCTCTCTCTCTCTCTCTCTCTCTCTCTCTCTCTCTCTCTCTCTCTCGCTCGCTCTCGCTCTCGGTCTCCGTTGTTCTCGCTCAACGTATTTGTTATATTCTTTTCGTTCGTTTACTGTCCCGTTATGTGTTTTTCCCTTTGTTCTCGTTCTTTACTTTCGTTTTATGCCTTAGTACATTTTCTCCTTGTTATTTGTCAGCTCTAACCCTTCAATGCTCATGGCGTTTTTCTTGGCCCTTGTATTGTTTCATTTGTTTCTTCATTATTCCTTTTTCTCGTAATTTCATTATGCCTTGTTATTTCCCATTTGCCTTCCTTTCCTCAACCCAGCTTTGTCTTACTTTTCAGGCAGTCGAGCTCAATATGAGGAGTAGACTGATATTGCTTGTGACTTACAGTATAGGATACATAATGTCTTGGTGATTTAGGTTTCTATTTCATCTGCGGTTAATATGCTTAGTTGGCTTCGTGTGTGCGTGTATGTGTGAATGTGTATGATGATGTGTATGCGTTGTGTTGTGTGCGTATGCGTTTTCATTCATGTTTCTATTGCATTAATAACACATGTCTGTGGGGTTTAAAAATTGGGATCAAACTATCATTTCCGAGAAGGTTCTTTGCGCACTCAGTGAGTGTGTCCATTCGAACTGGATTTGATGGAATTGACCCGTTTTTTAGATCACATAGATTGTGTTGTTTCATGTAACAGTTGGATGATTCAGAAATTATGCTATTGAGCTCCCCCCCATGCTAGGCAGGGGATGCGGTAGCATAGGGTCTGCGTCAATTAACTGTTACGCACTTCCATCATGCTGTGCATTTATTTCATTACCGGTAGAATATGCATTATACTTATGCATTTGCATTTACTTCATCTACTTATATCATCATCAGACATGCATCACGGAATAAACAGTTACGCGTTCACAGTTCATCATTTGGGCGACTCATGTAATATAGGTTCAGTCAAAGTAAACTACGAAATGAGAAGGAATGTGGTTCAGCACATGGTAAATTGACGCGGCAGATACATAGCAGTCAGTCACTTAGCTAGTACGGTACCGTTCACTTTATTTTTTCCATCCTCTATTTTTTAAAATATTGAGGATTGGAAAAAAAAAATTGTAAATAACGATCGTAATAGGTTGCTTCGCAACCCAAAAAACTTTCTAGCGTCCATACGTGAAAACACCCTGGAAAATCAGTGTTGTATCTGGAAAAAAATCTTTCACATCAGTGTTCATAACATTTAACTGGCTGATTGATTGCATCACCTCACCAGATGAACCAATGAAAGGCTTTCATTATAGTTCAGCAAGCGAACACACACACACACACACACACACACACACACACACACACACACACACTAATACCACATCGTATCCTCATCATCACCACCACTGTTTGCTACACCTACATCATCTTCATCTAGGTCTACTGGGTTGTCCTGGTCTCCTCCTGCCTCTGCCTCCTCCTTCCCCCGACGCCTCCTATCTGCCTCCTTCCTGGCGAGGTTGCAGGTGTTGAGCGGCTTCCGCTTCTTGTAGTTATGCCAGATCTCCACGATCTCGTCCCAGTTAGGCTTGTAACGGAGCAGCGACATGCACATTAAGTCACTAAGCCATCTTTGAGGCTGCCTCGATGCCAGGACTTTATGACGTACTGCCGCGAGAAGCCGCGCTCGCATTCGACTGTGCTCAATGGCAGGACCGCCACCGCTACCCACAGCCGCATCATGTTCCGGTAGTGCTCCTGCCAGTCGTTGGTCTTGAGCATGGCGGTAAGCCCAATGTGGAATCTGTTGGAACAAAAAGTCTTTAGCGCCTCTGTCGTGTCGAAACCCAAGACACAAGCGAAGCAGCTCAAATCGAAGCACCGCGAGTCAACCCTCGGAGGTTAAGGTAACCGCTGGAGGTTACACGAAGGTCAAAGGTCAGCGACCTTTGACTTGACAAATGCAGCGCGACAGCAAGGACACACAACTGACTCGACATTGAGCAGTTGCCCGAGTCGCACTGTATCGAACCGCAACAGTAAAACAGTTTAATTATATCTCTTCGTATTCTCTGTACTCTTATATAAACGTTTTGTATTTGCTTGTTTTAATTAACTTACTTTGCCCTCACATTCTAGCGCAAGGTGGTTCAAAGACTTTATTCAACGCTTCCGCTATTACATCATTCTACTCAGACTTTAACTCTACAAAGATCCTAAGGCCCCTCAGCCCAACATGGTACGAGAGCAAGTTAGAGTTCAAAGTTACTCTTTTTCTTCAACACTCAATACAAAGAAGACATGTCTGCTAGAAAGGAGAGGAGCTCCTCCAACGGCTCTCCCGGCACTACCCCTACTCCACCTCCTGTCTCTGGCCTACAGATAGAGGAAGGGACGACAATGAGACCAGCAGCTGGGTCTACGGAAACACCCGCGGGCTTCGATCCAAGTATGATGGAGAAATTCTTCTCCTTCATGTCCTTCTACGTGCAGCATCAGCAAGGAGTACCTGCGCAGTCAAACAACAGCAACAACAACAACGTGATGCCCATGAGCCTCGATGGCTCATCCTACGCACGTGGGAATCAACAACAACAACAACCTACCTTCGCTCCGTATGAGCCCCAGCGTGGCTCCGTCAGCTTCATGCCGCAACCACAACCTGCACCGGGACAAGAAAGAGCACTGGACGCATTACAAGTTTAGTCGCAATTCGCGCATGTTCTAAAACTACAAACGACAAAACCTTTCGACGGGAAGGATTTCTTCATCTGGTCGTTCGAATTCGAGCTGATGATGGAAGGAGCACAGATTCTTGGCTTCTTCGACGGGACCCTGCCATATCCAACAAACGGCACGCAGTATGAGAAGCAGCAGTACACCTATCAATCGATGATGGCGTACACAATACTGCTGAGGAACATCACCCCGACTCAACAGCAGAACATCAGGACTTACCGAGGTTACGAACTCCGCAGAGCTCGCGTACAACCATTTGAAGAACCTGTATCAAGCAACAGACAGTGTAAACCAAAGCCGGTTAATGGCGCAGCTGACAACAATCGAAATGAAACCAGGCGAGAAAGGCATGGCATATATCAGTCGATGCCGCGAGCTGTGCGACAAGCTCCTTCGATGTGGAGGATCGATTTCAGAAGACGCCTTCGTCACGGTCGTCATCGGTGGTCTTGGCCCCCACTGGCGCTCCACTCGCGCCATACTACGGGC